TAACCAAGCATACTTCAGAGTTATTACCATCCTTTGTCATCACAAGGGTTTCTGACTTGTGTTTGTGATTTCTTTGGGTAAAACTTTTTTTAAAAAAACTAATTTTGCATTTCTTCTCTAGCCTCTTTGGGTAAAGAAAGAGAGTTGAAATTTGTTCAAAAGAAGAAATACTCTGGGTTTTTTTATCCCTTCTTTGTGTTGAAAATCAGAGAATAATATGGCTGCACTCCTCTGTAGCCTCCCATTAGGTAGCCACAGAGAGCCACAAACTCTCCTCTTAGTCTTGTCTTCTTGTGGTTGAACTAATGAATACAGCTCTCAGCCTCTCCTTGCCTGTTGTCCTTCAGCCCCCCGACCATGTTGGTGGCTCTCCTCTGCTCTTTCTTACACAGAGGACCCCTAAACAGGACAGTGCTCCAGCCACAGTCTCACAAGTGCCAAGTGGAGGGGAAGACTTGCTTCCTTTTGCCTCTGGCTACTGGTGCTAATATGGTCCAGCTTGCAACTGGACACCTTTCCCACGGGGGTGAACAGCTCCATCATATTTCCACAGAAAAGGACCACTGGGTGTTTTCTAGCCAGTCAGCCTCAGCCTATATCATACTTACTGATATAAGACATCCATAAAATTAAATTTATTCTTGTTGCTAAAAATGTTTTCATGAGGATACTTGCAGAGAAGTTGAACAGTACAGGAAGTAATTCAAATTTTTTTTTAGCATGCTACACGAAACATGGCTCAAATGAAAGGGGGAAGGAGTTGCATTTTACAGTGTCTGCTCTAAGTAAAAATGCTATATATAACTTCTCTTGATTATTGAATTGCGTCATTTTGCTGTTGTAAAGAAAAAAACATATTTTTGTCTAGTGCATCAATCAGAATTGTCATTTAAAAATTGCATTCAGAGTGTGTTCTTCATATATAGTAACTCTTTCTTATGATGCTACTGTTCATCAGGATATCCTGATTAAAAACAAGGATCATTTTAATTCCTTATGCAAACCTTTTTTAAACTGGTATACATTAATTTGCATGTATAGATTCAAAAGTAACCTTTTGAATTCTAAGCATGTGTTATTGCCTTTAGGAATCTTACACAGCATAACAAACTTATTACAGGTCATGTCAGTATCCCATTGTGTTAAATGGATTTAATTCTGAGGTCTCCATTATAAATGATATCCACTTTGGCTTCACTGCTTTTCAGTTATACCTAGAGAATCAAGTGTTCAAATAAGTTCTGCGAAACTGTAGTGTAAATTAATAAATCCATTTTTGCTGATTCACAGGCAGTGCTCTGGGTTAGAAAATTAAGTGTTTATTGAGCAGTGCAGCTTTTAGTTTGGCATGGTACTTTCAATGTGTCCTTGAAGGTCGTGTTTTTTCAAATCCATTATTTGGCAGCTTTCTTAGCAAGGAAATGTAAAGTGCCTTTCAGTTTCAGCCACTGTTTTGCTCAAAGACAGTACTGTTTGGAGTGTAATGTTATATAAGAAACCCATGGAGGTTCTTTTAAGTGAAAGTATGATGTATTCTTAACACAATAAAGTCTCAGACTGCATTTCTTCCTCCTGCCACCACTTCTATCTATTTTCCAATTACACAGAAAGCATTCATTTGACTGTGCTAATTGACATTAATTTCACCTCCTACTGTTACTGGAGTAACATTGGATTATTCTGGCTGTAAGGCCTATGGCTGAATCACTCTGAACATATTTGATCTGTCTAATTCTTGGCAGCAATGAAGGGATGGGCCCAGATAGTATGTGGATGGCAAACTAGGTAAATCTCCATGGGGAGAGTAAAGTAACCTAAGCCAAACTCTGCTCTGGTGTCCACTGAAAGAAGAGGCAGTGGGCACAAACTGAAGCACAGGCAATTCTATTTCAATCTAAGAAATTTTGTTTTACAGTGGGACTTACCAAACAGTAGAATAGGTTTTCCAGGGAGACTCTATCCTTGGAGATGCTCAAAACCCAACTGATATAGTCCCAAGCAACCTGCTGTAGGTGACCCTTCTTTGAGCAAGTGGGTTAGGCCAGAGAATCTGCAGAGGTGCCTTCCAACCTCAACTATTCTGTGACTCTCTGATCTGCTTTAGTTACGTAGTTCAGCTTATTTTTCTTCTTAAGGTGTATTCCTTCACAATTATGCCAACATAGGGTTGTTTATCAGAATAGTTTACTGTAGAGTATTGGATTCTGAAATAGTTTCAATTCCATCCGTGTTCCAAAAGCTCTGCTTTGATACCTTCCATTCAGTCGGTGCTGGGTGTAACCAATGTAGCTTCCCTTAACAGAAGCAGAGCTTAGTTTATCCCCTTGCCAGCTGATGGCCACTTTTCTCAGATCTCTGTCCTTTGCAGAGAGCCCCTTAGTGTTCACATAGGCCAAGAAGGTTAAGATACCACCCTGTGCTGTTCTCTTATCACTGTTTCTTATTTTAAAAAAAGCAATAATTCAATATCTTTTCTTATTTTGGTTGTATTGGAAATTTGGTGTAGATTTTTTAGAATCTTTTGAAGAGGGTATTCCATGTATCTGACTTATAATTTACTTCATTGCTAACACCTAAGGTTTGGGTTTTATTATTAAAGGCCTGAAATGTCTGGTTTTGCAGATCTGAGCATAAAATAAAACAGGAAAGACAAAAGGGAGGTTGTTTACTTTAAGAAAATGTATTATTATGAATGCTTGAACCCATATTAAGTAGGAAAAAAGTATTTGGCAAGTAGATTTTTCATTCACATCCATTTATGCGCATGGCTATTGTCTAAACTGAAACAGATTAGAAAAATCTGAGTGGCATTAAACATTGCTGTACTGCCACCTGTGGATGTTCTCCCATTATTGCTTTGCTATTTTGGTAGGGTAGTAGGGATTAGAGCTGTGTGGGAAGTGGGTTTTTTCCATAGAAAAATGAGCTTTTTTCAACCCTCAGTGTCCAAAAGGGTCCTGTAATACCAGGACATTTTTGCAGCGTTGACAGCTCATGGAAGCTTTAGGTGAGGAGGAAGAGAAAGAAAGGAGTTCTATATAGGCATGAAACTCTTCTCTCTACAGCACATGACTGGTTTTGCTTCGTAATATTGCACAGGCATGATAAGCAGACATAGGAATAACTTCTTTTGCCCCCTCAAAGTTGTAATTCTTCCAGGCTGATTGTTGTATCTCACACAGTACTCCACAGTATGTGGAGCTCCTCCCCTTGTTTACTGGGAGACAGATGAGAATGGTGAAATATTTAACCTTTCTTGGAATCTTGAATAAAAGAAAGAATGCAGAAAAGCTTACAATATTTCATGAAAAAATTTTGATAAATATATATGCTAAGACTCATTTCTGAGTGATGGAAAAGTTTATGTTTAAAGAATGTGAAGAGTAGCTCAGAAAACTTCAAAGTGGTTTTCTGTAATTGTAAATCATACTTCAGTGGACCCTGCTATCTCCAAGTGCTGACAGAAGAGACAAACTGGTGTAGAGGATAAGTGATTATCTCAATCTAAGACAAGGTACTTGCTTTCCTTGAACTAATTCCAGCTCTAAACAGCATCATAGAATTTAAAATAACATAGGAAGGGCTGCACCATTTCTGATTCAAAGTCTAGTTCATCTAACTTAGATTGTTGTCTTCAACAGCATTCATAAGCTGATGTTTAGGAAGAGAAGAAATGAGGCAGGCGTCCTCACCTTCCCTCCCCTCCCACACCTGCCAAAAAAATAAAATATCTCTTTTCACATGTTGCTCTGAATGTGGTATAATTGGAATTAATAAGCTCTGTTGTCTCTCTCTTTCAAGTACCTATGCAGTCTCTCCTGTGTGCATCTATACCAGCTTTCAGGAAGGAGTTTCATAAAGCTACCATTCTTGTCTCAAGAATCACCTTCCTTTGTTTGTTTTAAATCTTGATACAAAATGTGTTGTTGCACTGTGGTTGGCTGGACTACTGTGTTTAATAAGTTCTAGGTAAAGCTGTTGATAAACATTATCTGTGCATAACTTGCAACCAGTCTTGGTTTGAAAGCATTCAGTGTTTTTGGAAAAGATGATTTGTTTGAGATTCCTCCCCTCTTCCTTGCCAGGTGCTAGACATTACAGTTTAACATATTGTTCATGGCTGCTTCAAATCACTGTTCTAAAAAGTCTGTATTTCTATTTGCAGTGTCTGAGCAACACACCTCCTCTGACAGAGTACTTCCTCAATGATAAATACCAAGAAGAGCTGAATTTTGACAATCCTTTAGGAATGCGAGGTGAAATAGCAAAATCTTATGCCGAGCTTATCAAGCAGATGTGGTCAGGAAAATACAGCTATGTTACCCCAAGAGCATTTAAGGTCAGTAGGAAATTTAACCTTAGTGTATATTGTCAGTTTTGGTTTTGTACTTTTAAGTGTACAGCACTTACATAAATATGTAATAAGAAGAATTTTGAAGTAATATTTATCAGTATGCAGTCAATTCATGTAACTGTTAAAACACTTGGATGTTGTCCAACTGTCCTTGTGCTTTGGTCTTTGGGAATTAGTTTTGAGTTGTCCAACTGTCCTTATGCTTTGGTCTTTGGGAATTAGTTTTGACTTTCTGTCTCCATTGAAAAGCTTATCTTTTCTAACTACAAGTTTTACCTTTTCAACGTGCTGGTGTGGCATCTCAGAAGTATCTATTCTTTCTAACAGTTAAGGTACCAGAAGTGTATGTATTTCTATTTTCAGACACAAGTGGGACGCTTTGCACCACAGTTTTCTGGTTATCAGCAACAAGATTGTCAAGAGCTCCTGGCTTTTCTCTTGGATGGATTACATGAGGATTTGAATAGAATTAGGAAAAAACCTTACATTCAGTTAAAGGATGCAGATGGGAGACCAGACAAGGTAGGGGTTTTGGTGTTGACTGTTTCAGTTAAGGCTGTATGTTGTAAGATACTTGTACGTGATTGTACACTGAAAGGTTGGCACACTGATCACATGGGTGTTTTTTTGAAGAAATTTCTGAAAATGACCTTAAAATGGAGACCTTGTTCAAGAACCTGTGTAAATTTCTGTTTATTTGCAAGATAACTCTGGGGACAGGAGGATGTGAAGGCTTTTTTAAGACTTTGTTAAGACCTTTTTGTTCCATTCAGTGCTGAGTTCAGTTGGAAAAACAATTTCCATTCTGTTATTCTTTTATGTCTACTGTGTGCAGCATTCTGTCTCTCTCCAGTGCTCTCGCTTTATAGAAACTCTGAATTTGTTAAGAGTTAATTCAGATATAATTTTTAGTTGCTTTTATCGTTTGCCAAGCCACCTGGAAGTCTCTCTCAGACTATGTAATACCACTGACAGGATCTCTGTCCTAGGAAAATCATACATCTTTTAACCTGTGATCCTGATAGGAGTAACATATCTTAGAGGGTCCTTTGGAGTGAGATTTCTATGTTCAGGTGGTTGCATAAAATGTTCTATCAGGTACTTCTACTAATAATTCTCACTATTAATTTCCTACTACTTTGTCATAACTCAGGTCGTACTTTAATTGTAGGTGGTTGCTGAAGAAGCCTGGGAAAACCATTTGAAGAGAAATGATTCCATCATTGTAGATATATTTCATGGCCTTTTTAAATCTACCCTGGTTTGTCCTGAATGTGCTAAGATATCTGTCACCTTTGATCCCTTTTGTTACTTGACACTTCCATTACCTATGAAAAAAGAGCGCACTTTGGAAGTTTATTTAGTTAGAATGGATCCACTTGCAAAGCCTATGCAGGTAAGTGGCTCAGTTTATGTACAAACACTCCAAGTCATGTGGCATTAACAATTAACCCCAGTTCCTTTACATAATGTAAATTTATAAGCACAAAATGCCAATGCAAAAAGCTTTAGTTTTCTGGTAAGTGTTCTGAGTCCAACTTAGGAAATCTGATGAAAACTATAAATACCTTCTTATATTTTGCTCAGTTTCAAGGAAGAATTGGTAATTTCTTTATGGCTGTGTTTATTAGGCTTCTTTGTCTTTAAACTGTATACTGACATTTTTTTATTGGGATGCTGCTATAATGAAGCTCTGTGGTTGTAAAAAGTATTTATACACTTAACTCAGATTTAAATTCTTGGTGTCTTAGTAAGTGATGCAAAAAAACCCCATGACTAAGTGTATTAGGTAGTCCTGAATTCTTCTGTGTTCTCACTTACTAGTCAACAGAAAAAATTTCAGATGAGATTTCTTTGTGAAGAGTATCTCTTTTGCCATTTTTCAGGAAGGATGGTATTATAGACTTTAGAATGCCATGAAAAAAATTACAGAATGTTATCATAACAAAGTCATGGTTCTAGCTGTACCTGATGGGGTAGGTGAGGATAGGTGAAATAAAAAAGATAGAGGGAGCTAGGCAGATTTCCAAAAAGGCTTTAACACCTGAAACTAGAGTACCATGAGAAGCAAAGTGAGAGTAAAGGGAGTGTTCCCAAAGGCAGTGTGAGTTAGCTCAGTCAAAGGTGAAGAGACATCAGATGAAGGGACAGGTAGTGGGAGATGAGCCTGCTAGAAATTAAATTATTTTGCACAGTGGACACACAGTAGTTGAAGATGCCTGTCTATAACATGAGATTGTTATGCAGGAATTACTAGAGAATGGGAAGAGTACAAGTTCAGCAGAGTGTTTGTGATCCTGAACAGGTATAACCTTTAAGGAGATACCAAACACATGCTGTATCTGGCATTGAGTTAGAATACTTGACTTCTAACTAATCATGTCTTTATTATTCAAATAACAGGTCAGAGTCCAGTGTGGAGTTTTATTACAAACTGCAGGTACACTGCACTAAGGGAAGCTACAGAGAGGTTTCCTTTGACTGTTTATCATCGGGTTCTCTCTGTATCAAATTAGAATCTGTTGCCTGCTATTGCTTTTTGCCAGTAATACTTGGTAAACAACTTGTGTTGTATTCCAGATGTAATAATCTAGTCAATAGCATGCATACTATTTAAATGCTTAAATAACTAGGTGCTGTTGAAATGCAAATCTAAGTAATTGGTGCTGTTAGTCTTCTTACCCAGAAAGTAAAATAGAGTTTCAGAAATCGTTGTGTAAACTAGTAAATGTATATTCAGAGTGTGTGTGTTTGTAGACTAAAGTTGTGCAGGTAAGTTTTCAGCAGCTTTGGGGATTTGTGTTAGTTGATTTACATACTTCACACCTCACATTCAAGAATATGAATGAAGTATGCGAAATACACTGAACATGTGATAAGTTGTTTGGGGTTTTTTCATGATGTATATTTGTTGCTCTTAAGAAATTAAAATTATATTTTACTTTTTAGTACAAAGTAGTTGTTCCCAAAATTGGAAATATATTGGATCTTTGCACAGCATTGTCAGCTTTGTCTGGTGTTGCTGCAGATAAGGTAAGTGTGACCTCTTACATGAAGCACAACAATGAGCATTTTAATGCATATTAACCTGATTTAATGAGGTATACTCCATTTTCTTTTTAGATGATTGTTACTGACATATACAATCACAGGTTCCACAGGATATTTGGCATGGATGAAAATCTAAGTAGTATTATGGAACGTGATGACATTTATGTGTAAGTACAGATAACATGCTTCATGTCTTTTTGCAGTTTGTTTAGTTACTTGCCAAAGATTAAAACCTAGACATAAGATAAAGACAAAAGTGGGAGAGGCTGGGATTTTTTTATTTTCCCCTTTATAGCCTTTTACATGATCGTTGTTCTTTGGTTTTCTGATTGTTTTTCTTTCAGATTTGAAATTGCTATCAATAGAACAGAAGATACAGAACAAGTTATAATTCCTGTTTGCTTAAGGGAAAAGTGCAGGCACACTAGCTACAGCCATAGTGGTTCTTTGCTGTTTGGTCAACCTTTTCTCATAGCAGTGCCTAGAAACAACACTGAAGATAAACTGTATAACCTGCTGCTGCTAAGAATGTGGTAAGGTTATTGTTTGAAGAAAAATGCATTTATCAAGAGTAATAGGTGGAATCAGTAGGCACTTACTTGCACATGCATTTCTGACAAACTGGTTAGATTTGAGTGGTTTGTCTTTTATTTATTTTCTGTTAAATATATTAAATCTAAAATTTTAGCCAGTTGAGATTTTGAACCAGTGTTGATTTTGATTTTTTGTTAGCATGACCTCATCCAAAAAGTATTTGAGAAGACAGTCAAAGCAAGTCAATCTGTATTGTCAGTTTAGGAGAAATAATTCTGGTTTATACTTAGCTGTTTATCAGGACTTGGGTAATGTGGAAATGTTTTCCAATTATTCTGCTATGGTTATGCCTCCCATATCTACTGTACAAGTTTATATACTAATTTATGTTATAAAAGTACATGGTAGACACTTCCTGAAACTAGACTGGAGTTAAGTGTCGTTATGTAGAAGAAATTAGAATCATATAACCTCCAATTTAAATTTGTGTTTCATTTTCTGTTCACGGAACTTTCTATGTAATTGAACCCATGTAATTTTTTTTGTGTAAAAGTATGGTTAATGAACAGTTAAAAAAGTGATTTCTGAACAGAGACCGATACCAATAATCAAGTTGTCTAAAATCACATAACTGCCAAAAACGTAAGCTCACATACGAGTAGGTTTTCAGATGTGTGTGTAATAGCTGACACGTTTGGCAGTAAAACTGTTAGCTCTGACTAAATCAGAAAGGTGTGTAGAAATACTGTTCACTAGAAAGGATTTGCTGTTGAAATTGAATTACCTGCTTTGAACAGCGTAAACATTTTTAAATCCATTGATTCTAACCCTTGCTTTCACTTGTGATATTTAGCCGATATGTAAAAACATGTACTGAAAGTGAAGACTCTGAAGGATCCCTGCATTGCTGTAAGGACCATGGCATCAATGGTAATGGCCCAAATGGAATACATGAAGAAGGATCTCCAAGTAAGACTGGAATATCTAAACTTGTTTAGTGTTTTGTGTTCAGTTTGAAATGGAAGCTAACTCCATAGTGTCTTTCAATTATTGTCATTCTACTTCACTTCTTTCTCTTTATCCTTTCAATTGCTTCAGGTGAAATGGAAACAGATGAACAAGATGATGAATCCAGCCAGGATCAGGAACTTCCTTCAGAGAATGAAAACAGCCAGTCAGAAGACTCAGTTGGAGGTGACAATGACTCTGAAAATGGATTATGTACTGAGGATACTTGCAAAGGTCAACCACTCACGGGACACAAAAAGCGATTGTTTACATTCCAGTTCAATAATTTAGGCAATACTGACATAAACTACATCAAAGATGATACCAGGCATATTAGATTTGATGATAGGCAACCAAGGCTTGACGGTAAGTCACGGGGAACAGGTTGGGCAACATTTGATTCTGATACTCTTTTCTGACTCCACTTCATAGAAGGATGTTTCATTTTCTCTGTGCTGTTTGAGATCTCTTTCTTTAATAGGAAATTCTGTATAAATAATTAACTTGTAACTGCAATTAACTCTTAGAAATGCAGAATTTCTTTGTGCTTCAGTTTTTCACCTTAAATTCATAATAGCATCGTTCATTTCATTTTGAAGTGTGTTTGCCCAGTGTCAGTAAAATTTCATGTAAAGCAAGAAATAATGTTAAAACATTTTTTTAATCTTAGAAAGATCTTTCCTTGCTTTGGATTGGGATCCTGAGTCGAAGAAGAGATATTTTGATGATAGTGCAGCAGAGGTAAGCTCTCTATGTTGCTCCCCTTTCCTGCACAAATAATTCTTAAATGTAAAAAATACAACTTAATTAATTTGCCATAAGAGCTTGTAAGTCTTCAAAAGAGGAAGCAAGTTTATCTTTTTCATCTTATTCGTAGTAAATATGTTGTCATAAATAAACTTTGTGTACACATCCAAGTAATTAGCAAATCTGAGGCTTAAGAACTTGGAAGTAAATCTGAAGCTGTGAAAACTTTTTGCTTGAATGGTTTCTGATCAGTTTTTCCATATATAGGAGCTTTGTAGTTACTGTTCATAGTAAGACGACATCACTAAAATGAGTTTTGTTTCATTTGTTCTCTTAACTCAAGAAATACTTCTCTTTAGGATTTTGAAAAACATGAAAGTGTGGAATATAAGCCTCCCAAAAAGCCTTTTGTGAAATTAAAAGATTGCATTGAGTTGTTCACAACAAAGGAAAAACTAGGTGCTGAAGATCCGTGGTAAGCACAAAAAATTAAAATTGTTACGATCTATGGTGTATTTCTCAAAGTGTAATCAGAACCACACTTGAACATTGAGGTACCTAATTGATATATATATATATACCATATACAGAAGGTTCTGTTGGTAAGGTAGACAGTTAATGCATTCAGAATTAGGAGGAAGGGTCAGTACATAAGATACTCTGTGAACTGTGATGGACAGTGAATGAATAATAATGTGCCAAATCCAATGCAGTGGTTCTAATAAATACTCCTTCCTGAGATGAGAGAGGTTGGTGCACCCTACAGGTTTTTTTGTACAAATAGATAACTTGCCTTGCACTGCTGATATGTGAAATAGGATGTGCTTAAACAGCTGGTTTGTGGTATGGGGGATGTCTGTAGTCACTAGACCCTCTCAAATTCATCTTTCAGCCATTAGGTTTTTGGCAGAGACCTTTATTCTTCTGATGCATGGTTCTTCCAATTTATAATTTGGAATCTTATCTGAATATTCACAGTTATAGGATGTTACCATATGATTCTTTTTCTCCAGGAATTTTCTAGCAGATAACAATCCTTTGTCGACACTTTTAAACTGGGAATTAAGTTAGAAAAGAGAGTCTGCCAATTTTTCTTTTGTGGATGCTTAAAGGTTTTAGAGACCTCCAGACATTGTCACCAGAGACCCTTCTACATTTGTGCAGGGGAGGAGGCTAACTTTAAAAAAAAAAATTTTTTTTTTTTTTTTTCTGGGTTTGCCAGGTTATACAGCATTGGATAGATTTTTGAGATACCATGTAACTTGGGTATGGTGAAGCTCTTCCCTTCTTGTGTCGGGAAAGGTGAAGGTTCCGCGCGGGGAAGCAAGAGGCCGACTCCGTGTGGGTGATACAGCAAGCTCCATCTTTATTGTCCGACAGGCTCTTTCTTATACAGTGCAGGACAGGCATACAACTATCAATCATTTATAATTGGCTAAGCTCTAAAGATAGCATTCAGGTACTCTCCCTACTTGCAGTTACAGCTGTGAGGATTATCTCTTACTTTCTCAGTCTTGAGTGCATTCCTAGCTGTTTGTCTCGAACTTGTTTGTCTCACCCTCAAGGACAACTTGCCCCTGCCATCTGGCCAGCTGAGTTACTCCCTATCTACATATAAGTTACAATCTCCAGAGCCTTGCTCGTACACACTGCATTCCCAGGTGTGTTCCCAGGACTGTGTCCATGCGTTCCCAGGGAATTGTGTCCTTGCTCTTTTTAGCCTTCCCCAGGTGCATTCCCAGGATTATGTCCCGCCATTCTCCAACATTCTTGCAGCATATTTTATGCAAGGTACTTAAACTACAAAATACAACTAGTGCTGAAGTTCAGTGGCTGCTACTTGATACATCTAATCACATTTTTCTTCATTTGTTAGGTCCTCACAGGTCTTAATCTACAGGAGCTCATCGTTCCTCGTCCAGTTCTGTTTGTATTCTAGATATTCTAAGCCAACAGGGAAAAGAGTTTTTCAATTACAGCCTGCCCTTAGAGTTGTCCTAATTCCTTGTCATTATCGTGTGTTGCTATGGAAAGACACTTGTGCAGTCTTCTTTAATTAGGGCTCGTTCTGGCTTTTTCCTAGATTTTTACTTGTTAGATAGCAAGATGTAGCATATGCATAGATCACTTCACAGAATTGTTTGCTTTCCTTCCTGAGCCTTAGTTCCTGAAATATTCAAGTATGCATTGCAGGGAAAAGAAACTTATAAATCACAGACTCTTTAATATTTGCCTGCTAAGGAGGAAGGTTTTTTTTAGTAGCAAGTTTTTCTAGGTTCCAGGAGTCACTGTTAACTGGTTTTAGTGGGAGATGGATGAACTTGGAAATTGGAAGACCCACAGTTGTCTGTTATACGCAGTTTTCTGATACTCAATTTCATAACCCTTAATTTTTTTTATAAAATAAAGCCATGTTTTAATCAAAGATACAGGGAATACTGTAGGAGATGAGAATCTGATATTGGGGGGTGCTAGTTTTGTGTTTAAAATGCTGTTGAGCTTTACCATGACCACACTTGCACGTTTTAAACTGAAAGATATATCAGTGGCATTACTAACAGAATATAAAATGTGTGTGTTTAAGCTTTTCCTCATTCAGTTCCTCCCATGTTATTTTATGGTAATGTATTTTAACATACGCATGGACTACAGTTATTTAAAATTGGTTTGTTTTTCTTTTAGGTATTGCCCAAACTGTAAAGAACATCAGCAAGCTACCAAGAAGTTGGATTTGTGGTCACTGCCCCCTGTACTGGTAGTTCACCTAAAGCGCTTTTCCTACAGCAGATACATGAGGGACAAGTTGGATACATTGGTGGACTTTCCAATAAAGTAAGAAACCTACATATTTTGATGCTAGAAGTGTAAAAGCATGACTGGGACATGTGTTTAATGCAGCAGTCAGTAGAACGGGTGTGTTCTCAGCTTCCGTGGCAAAATGCGTGTAGGTGGAAAGTGTGAACTTGGAAAAATAATAATAGTAGATAAATAAGAAAGATTACTGGTCCCTGTTCCACCTCTCACAGACTGAAAGAGAGGCACAGTCAGAGTGCTCTGGTGTATGTGAGTTTTTTGTAGGGAATGTAAAGTAAAGGGCTGCAAGACCACCAGAATTTGTAATGGTTGAAAATATTAACATGACTGACTTTTGGTTGGGTTTTTTTGTGTTTGCTTTGTTTTAACAGTGACTTGGACATGTCAGAGTTCCTTATTAATCCCAATGCAGGGCCCTGCCGCTACAACTTGATTGCTGTCTCCAACCACTACGGAGGAATGGGAGGAGGGCACTGTAAGTTGGTTTCTAGGATCATCATTCTACGTGTCAGCTTTCTTTGCAGGCTGATCTTGAGCACTTTGAATCAATGGTGCTTTTCAATGGTTGAAGGACAATTTTTTCCATTACCTTAGAAGGCTTTCACAAGTATTCTAACACAAAAATCTATATGCAATGAGCTTTCAAGGATAGTTGTAGGGGTTTTTATACTTATAGCTATCCATAATGTGAAAAGAGAAAACATAAGAGCTCTGTATGAGCTGCTGTACTCTTACAACTGATTTTTGTCTTGCTTGTCTGTGTTTTTGTTCACTGGTCACCTCCTTGAAGAGAGTAAAAAGGGATTTTATTTTTACTGTCCTTTCTCAGTATACATACTCTTTAGAAGGGAAAGTTATGGTTAAGCTCTCTTCTTGTAAAAAAAAAAAAAGTGTGAAAGATGAGTCTAACAGTGGTAATAAGTTTTAGTTAGTTAAATGTGAAGTTTTTGACAGTAAGACACTAGCAACTGATTGTATTACATTTATGAAGAGACAAAGTCCTGAGACATTGTACTTTTTTGTCCTAGACACTGCTTTTGCAAAAAATAAGGATGATGGAAAATGGTACTACTTTGATGACAGTAGTGTGTCCACTGCGTGTGAGGACCAAATAGTGGCAAGTACCTTTTTTTTTTTTCCTAAAATTGGGACTGTTGATGATGTTTTCTTCTTGAGGGAAGAAAAATGAAGAGTAAACCATGAACCTTGTGTTAAATTTGTAGGTAGTAGTTTGTGTTCTTTCAAAGGGCAGTACAAACCAAAAATGGTTTACAGTAACTTACATGAAAGCTTTGGATTTCTTTGTAATTTTATCTTAGATATTTGGAAGCAGAGAAAAAAAATAACACTGTTTGTAGCCTCATGAACATATTACACTTTTCTCCTCTACAGTCCAAAGCAGCATATGTACTCTTCTACCAGAGACAGGACACAATCAGTGGAACTGGCTTTTTCCCACTTGACCGGGAAACTAAACAAGGTGCTTCAGCTGCCACAGGCATCCCAGTAGAAAGCGATGAAGACAGCAATGAAAATGATAATGATATAGAAAATGAAAATTGTATGCACACTAACTGAAGGAAGAACTAGAAGCCATAAAAGAGACTCTTCCTGGGGATACA